CCCCACCCTGTCCTGGCTTCCTCCCCTGTGGGGAAATCAGATGTCTTCTTTGCTCAGATTGCAGATTTAGAAACAGAGAAGAAAGATTTGGAGAGGCAAGTGAATGAGCAGAAGGCTAAGTGTGAGGCCACTGAGAAGCGGGAGATTGAGAGGAGGCAGGTTGAAGAGAAGAAACACAATGAAGAGATTCAGTTCCTGAAGCGAACCAATCAGCAGCTGAAGGTGAGGCCGGTCGCTTTAGGGGTCATGGGCCTAATTCTCTGGAAGGCCGGGTGTGCACTCTCAACCATAGCCTAACATTTTCTCTTCTAGCTTGGTAGGAGAAAGCAATGGTGTGGCCTCCTCCTTCTTTCTTCCAGGGCTCAGATGGATAGCTCCCTCTTCAAGAGAAATCTGTTCCCTAAGTGGGTGTGGAAAAAAGTGAGGTTTACATCCCAATACAACTTACACCTTTGAGCCTCTGGTTTTGGCAACATTTCCTCCTGAATAACAGAATAACAGAGCCCAGGAAGTCCTCTCTGGCAAGTCACTGCATTTTCTCATCCTGACATTTTAGAGACTCCCATTCAGAAGGGCCAGGCTTCAAATGCACATGGATGTTATCTGAGGTCCCTTAGGGCCAGAGCCTGACCTGGTCAGGAAAGGCCCCAGAGAGGAGAGGGGCAAGGAAAAACCTTTTCAATTCTAAGTCTCCACCTGGTATGCTGTGAGAAGAGCTGGCCATTTGTTTATTTCTCTGCTTTAGTCCCTTTATCTGCCTAGATAGGAACACAGCCAGGGTGGCTTGTCATCCACTGGGAGTGTGGAACAGCCCCTGCTGCTCCTTTTCCTCTGCCCACCACTGAAGGCTCTCTTGGGGAGAATGCTGCCTTATCTTCTAGAGGGAGGTCTTTCTGGGTTTTGGTCAGCAAGGGCATGCTAGGAAGAGGGATCTTCCCACTGCCTCTCCTCTCTTTTTCTCAATGGAAGACCTAGCAGGAGCTTGTAACTCTGGGATTGGTAGGGACATGGGCTTCCATACACCAAAGATACTCAATCTGAAAAAAGGGGTGATGCTTCCTGCTAATGGAGGGTGGCATCAGTCCTTGTTGCTGAAAATTGATTTGCTGTTGTGACACAAAATTCTTTTTAAGAAGAAAAAAAATCAACCCAGAAATCTTCACAGGCAGATAAGTAGTCCTGAGAGTAAATCTTTTCCTGTCTTTCACAGATAGTTTTGGTGTTCCTTAATCTGCCAGGGAGTTTGCAGTAACAAAAGCAAAGGAAGCTACCTTAGCATCTTTCTAACACATCCTAGCAACCACCTAATCCTTAGGATGAAGGATTCTTTAGACACCAGTTATTTCTATAAGCGCAAAGCTGTCCTGCTTCAAAAGCAGTGCTTGCCTGCCTCCCCCACCCCAGGACAGATGTACCTACCACAGTGATTTCTTTTACTAGTTGCCTTTAGAAGAGAAGTGTCTCTCAGGCACCATCAGCTTGACATACAAAATGGAGGCAACCTATACACTAGTAGCAGTTTCCTTTAATTGGGCGTCAAGCTGTCTCAGTGATGGAAAATTTGCTATTCCACATCCCCTTTTCCCACCTGGCACACAACTCCTGAGTTCCAGAACTGGAGGGCCAAATGTTTAATTTAGCGGACATAGTCAAGCCTGAAACGTGAGTCCTGAAACCACTGTTTCAACAACTTTTATTCAATTTCCTCTTCAATGCTTTACATTATACCCTGAGCCTGGCCATTGTATGGAAACCAGGGCAGCTCTGGTTTCTCCTAATGCAGCAAGACCATGCTGCCAAGCCAGAAACAAATTTAGAAAATATGACGTTAGGAACTAAAAAAAGAAAACCCAAACCCTAAAAACCTTGGACCTGGCTGTCTGGACTATTGCCAACTACTTCTCGGGGACTTTTTTCACCTTGGGGTGCTTGACTCTGGGAAGAAGGCTCCACCTTAAATATAACGGCTTCCATTTTTGTTTTTCAGGCCCAACTGGAAGGCATCATTGCACCAAAGAAGTGAAGATTTCCATGTGGGCCCCAGTGAGAACTACCCCTATATAAACAGTCCCCTGTAATAAAAAGCTACAGTTTAGTGAGTGAACCAGCCCACACCCCTGGCCTCCAGAAAAACCATCATGCAACATTTACACCATTGCCTAAATGCCCTGAAAACACCCCGAGATTTGGTAGTAATGCTCAAGGTTGGATGATGGGAATTCATGTCTCCCAGGTATCTTCCATATTTGGCTCGCCAGACAACGCCCACTTGGCATTGCTCAACGTAGAACCCTGAGCAAGGGTTGTCCAGCTCAGGCGTTGAAGTGGTCATTGTTCCACCTTGACTCCTACAGCCAAGCAAAGTGGCTCCTTCTCCTTTGAACTATGCTTTTCTGTACTTCTCATCCCTTCTTCAGTGCTTCTCCCAATGCCTGCTACCCTTTCTACTCTCCTCCAAAGGGTCACCTGTCTGGGGTCTGTCTTCCCCCACCCAAACGTAGTCCTTAGGACCTGTTTTATGCTTTGCTTCAAGTTAGCCCAACCCTTCTTATCAATCAACCACTCTGGCCTCAGCTGTTTCAAGGCGCCAGTAGTCAGCAAGATTTTAACATTCCTGGCTTTGTTTAGGTATCTGGTAGAAAGAAATCTGAGTCACGGATGTCTATCACAAGGAGGCCACATACAGACACCAACGTGGCACAGCAACCTATTTCAGAAAGCTATCTGTTGTTGGACTTGCTCTTAGACTGCAAAAAGAGGACCTATCCCCTAATCAGCCATGCCCAATTAATCAGAGCTGATCAAAACCTCAGCAAGCAACTTTGATTTACTACTACTGGTAAACCAATCAGTGGGAACTGACCAGGATGGCTACTACTCTTGCTCAGGAGGGTAAACTTTCAAGTCAAAGTAAAATAAATCTAAATCAGGTTTTCTGGTTTTTGGGGTTTTGTTTGTTTTTGCAGCACTACACCTGTTGGAGGTTATTTTATTGCCTAGTAAATGAAAATTGAAGCTAAGCGGGGAAAAGAACTGACTCATTTCTATTTGGGGCCAAATGGGTTTAGTCAGTGGAGGCGGCTGTTCAAACCACTTTTCCAAGTAGCATGGCAAAGACTTTAACGTGGCAGGCTCTACATGCCTTCATGGAGACTGGCACCTAGGGCAGCTGGAGAAGGAACTTCACTAGTTCGGTGGGCCTCTCTGTCAGCAGGGGAGACCCAGAATCCTGCTCATTACTATTTAGGCGGGGAGATTTGCTTGAAAAAGCGCCACATCCTGCAGGAACCATTTGCTTCCATTAAGGCAGGTACTACATGTTCACCCTACTCAGACTCAGAAAAGGCGTTGTGCCTCCCTAGCACTGGACAATTCACAGACTCTGCTATGAGAATGTGCATGGGCTCTGAGTAACCATGGCACTTTATTCACTGAAAGTGAATTCCAAATTCTGCCCCTGCCCCCCAGCACCTCGAGCTCCTGAAGGAAGCTGGTGCTGCTGTGTCTCAAGTTTAGGCTACATAAAATATTTCTTGAAAGTATTCCGTTTCGAAAGACTCTCATGCCTCGAATCTAACAAGCAGTTAGACAACCATTCTTCCTCTGCATCTGCTAGCTAAGTACCCTGATAAAGCTACCTCTTGGCAGGACTTCAGAGGGTTATTTGAAGTATCCCTGAAAATCCCTAAGGTTTCTATCACCTAACATGACTTTAACTAGTCAAAACAGCAGTATTTCTTTGTGTGTCTTCTCAAGTACATATGACTGATTTCTCACGTCAGATCACAACAGCAGCAATGTAGTCCTGGAAATGCAAACTGTATGAAGAAAATGTACACAACTAATCGCATATTTTTGTAAATTTTAATAAACCAATTAAAAAGTTACTGCTTCCGTTTGAATTGTCTGTGGTGATGATTTTGTCCCCCTGAGTCACTGGTCTTCTTTTTGTTCCTATTCTTGTTTTTCACGTTGTGAGTGTCATAGTAGCGAACCCCAACCTTTTTGGCTCTCTTCTGCCGGTCTGCTCGCCTTCGCTGCAAGAATGAAGAAAGTCAAGTGTCAAACCAGGAAAGCTACAAAAAGGGCACTTCTTTCTGGTCAGTGGGATGTTCCTGAGCAGCTTTCCATAGCTACTAGATGATGTGAGTTCAGTTCAGAAGTCTGCCCTGTAATCATGCCTTGTTTCGGCTACTTAATCTACTTCTAGGACCTGTCAATGACCCTCAAGCTTACTAGGACTGTGGTCACAAAACAGGGCTCTGGCTCCCTGACAGGTTAGTAATTTCAAAAAGTCACATTAAGGCTATGAGGGTTTCCACTGTGGTCTTTATACCATGCACCTGGGGTAGAGGAAAATGGAGAAAACTTACCGCCTTCGATGTGAGCTTTGGAGACTTATTATCAGGCTCTTTCTCTTCAAGTGCCTTTCTCTTTTTTCCTTTCTTGGTATGTTCTGAAAAAGGAATGGTAACTTCAACATACAAACTACAAGGCTGTGGACTAAATGACTGGCTTGGGAATGACACCGGACTCTTCTCAAAGAAGGAAATTAGAAAACTTTCTTTGCATTTTCCATTTAATCTCAGTGAATATACTACTGAAGTTGAGATAATATCCTTAGATGAAGAGACCGATATCAGCTATAAACACTTAAGGAAATTTCAGCCAGTGACAAAATCCAGAGGCTAACTTCACTATTACTATTACATGAAAATCATACATAACTCAAATTTCCATACGTCTTTAAAATTTACCAAACATTTTCTTCACAAAATGACAAGGAAAGATCTACAGCTGTGAGAGATTAAGTGATTTCCACAGAGTCACCCAGTAAGTGTGTGTCAGAGCCACATGTCAAAGCCGAGGAGGACAAAGGACGCCTTCTCAAAATCAATGCTCGTTCCATTACCCTATGAGGCCGGGTTCAATTGGGAAACCATGTTTAAATGACTTTTACTTTACCTTTTTCTTCTATATCATCTTGCTCTTTGGATTTGGGCTCAGATTTGGAAAACACCTTTTCAGTAAGTCCTTTGGGAATTCTACAAGAGAAGGAAAAGCAACGAAATGACTCAGACAGCAGAGGTTCTCATCATACAACAAAGACAACAACATCCTGAGCCACACACACAATCTCATCTGGCTGAAGAAAAACCCTTTAGGAAAGCTCAGCTGTCAACAAAGAGAAATACTCTCATCATTTCTATATTTGAAGAAGAAATTGAGTAAGCCTCTGTAGCTCAGCTAACTGAATGTTATTTATATATCGTTATTATCTGGAGATAAGAGTGAACTCCACTCTACATATTGTCCCAGGACCTTATAACACGTAACCTGGGACGAAAAGCGGGTCCCACACCCAAACTGCAGTTGTCAGATGCAATGATACGTTACCTGATTGCTGAAAACTTTCTGGCTTTAGCTTTGTTTAAGAACTTTTTGTATTTGGCAATTTTTTCATCCAGAGCTTTAATAACTGCTTTGGTGCCAATTTCTCCATCTGCCTGGGATGCCTGGTTTGACTCCTCACGCTCTTCCTCACGCTGTTCTTCTTCCACTTCCTCCTCCTCCTCTCCAAAAGAGTCATCAAACTCTCCGTCGCTATCTGAGATCTCCACAGGGACCAGATCTTCTCCCGTAAACTGAGGCACAACATTGATCTTGCCAAAGTTCTGTCGCACACGTGCCAGGAGCTCTCTCATTTCAGCGTTTGTGTCATCGCTCTCTTTCTCCTCCTCATTCCTTTCAGCCACAGGTGTGGCTTCTTGACCTTCAGTTTCTCCCCCTTCTTCCTTGGTTTCATGGGGTGATGCTGTCGAAACAGCCGAGGACGCTAGGAACTATTGAAAAAGGAAAAGCAAAAGCTAAGAATGAAGACTTTACCTTAGGGTCTCTATCTAAAGCCTGCCTTTTCCCTGGACACTTAAGACCCCATATATACTCTAAATCCAAAGTCATGGCACAGAACTAGTCTAACCCAATACCAGTCAACAAGCATTTGTCAAGTGCTTACTATGTGCTAGGCACTGTGCTAAGTGCTGGGGACAGGCAAAAACGTGGTCCTTACCCTCAAGGAGCTCATACTCTAACGGAAAACATGCATTCAACACTAAACACAACATGAAAACTAGGTTTCCGACACAAGGAATGCCGTCTCAGAGGTAGAATGCAGTGAGAGAAGATTACAAGGTCAAGCATTCAGGATTTCAGTAAGTGTCTGGGAAGAGGAAACAGAGTTATAGAAACAGTATGAGTGTGTGTTTTGTGTGTTGGAGATGGAATGTAGATGATCTCTTTGTTGTTATTGTTCAGTCATGTCTGACTCTTCATGACCCATTTGGGTTTTTTTTGGCAAAGATACTGGAGCGCTTTGCCATTTCCTTCTCCAGCTCATTTTATAGATGAAGAAACTGAGGCAAACAGAGTTAAGTGACTTGCCCAGGGTCACAATGCTACTAAGTTTCTGAGACCAAATCTGTACTCAGGTCTTCCTGATTTCAGGCCCGCCTCTCTATCCACTGCACCACCTAGCTGCTGCAGATGATCTCTAAAGTCCCTTTAACTTAAAAATCCCATGATACCTATGACTTAGCAATGGAGATTATTGGTGAGAATTGAGAACATTATCATCCTGAAGGGAAGTGATTAAGAGGTAGAATTAGGTATAGAAAGGGAGGCAGTACAAAACCCTAAATCAGGAAGTGTGACAATAAATGGCAAAAAAGAAATACAAGGTTATCTTGGGGCAACAAGACTTTTTTCAGGGTCAGGGAAGACTTGGACATGTCTGAAGGTCAAAATGCTAATGGAAAGAAAGGCAGTGAAGAGTAGAGAAAGGAAGGGGATAAATGTGAACAGAGGGACTTCATAATTCAGCAAGAGAAAGATCAAGAGCATGTTCCATTATCTTCTGTCAGTCCAAATCAAAGAAGAGGTTTTTCATCTGAACCTGTCCTATAAGCACATTTGGATCCATTCACACCCTCACCATAACCGAGGCAGTGCAGGTGTGACGTAGAGTAAGCAGGGTGGAGTGGAAAACTCAAGTTTAAACTGCCATTCTGTCATTTAGTGGTTCCATGACCACAGGTAAGGCCCTTCTGCTCTCTCAGCCTCACTTTTCTCACGTGTAAAATGAGGATAATCTCTGTAGTACATATCTCATAGTGTTGTTTTGGAGTTCAAATGAGATAATGAATATAACACACTTTACAAACCTGGGAGCACTATGAAAATCAAAGTTTTGGGGTTTTTTTCCCTAACAAAAATTACATGTGCCGTAACAATTATATTTTCAGCAAATACCTATCATAAATAATCCCTTAAGACTCATTCCAAACTTAGCCACATGATATTTGTTTACCAAACTCCAAATGCTAATTCCCTAATGGACTAGAAAAGGTGAGTGGACCCCATGGCACAACAGAAGTCGTACAGGTAAAATTACAACATGAAATCAAATTTTATCAGGTGAATGCAGCACAGGAAGTTAGCATCTAAGTCAGTATGAAGATCTCCTAGCATTGTCTCTACTTCATTCCTACCTGTGAGGCTGATGGGGGCTCTGCATTAGGTGGCTTGACGAAGAAAGGAATTCGGCCCCTTTGCCAGTCATTGAGAACCATCTTGCCCACAGTCTGCAGGTCAGGCTCTCCACCCTGAAAAGTCACACAACAGATTTCCATCAGGGACACTGAACAAAGCTAGCCCCCAGAATGGCTATGTGTCAGTTTCCCTACGAAGACCTCACTTTTCAGCTCCATTATTACTGATCACATAATTAATTTCCATATTACATTGTTAAGCACATGGAAGTTGGTTTTATCACCAGATAGAACATTACACTTTGGGGATGTTCCTACTTACCTTTAAAAGCTTTCCAGTCCTGAAGGCTAGCTTTCCCAGGAAGTCTTCAGCATTTTCCCAATAATCAATTTTATATGTCTTACTAATATATTCTGACTTTGCTCTTTCAAGCACAGAACTTATATGGTCTTCAGGACTCTTAATTTTTTCAACTTGAACCTAGAAAATAATAAAGAAATTGATGCTTGCAAGCTTTATCGTAGTTTTTAAAAACATTACCCAGCTAAACTTTTAAAAAATCCCCTAACATTAGACTCTATAGAACAAACACTATGCTAGGCCCTGGAGGGTACCTGACTTATGGAGATTACAGTAATTAGCATACATACAAATGTTTTTTAAAAAATGTTCATAAATACTGTATAGCAAAATGAGGTCCAAAGTGGGAAGACATGATCTCCAATTAGGGTAAATCAGGGAAAGTTTTCTGGAGCTAATTTTTAAATTGGGATTTGAATGATGAATAAGAATTAAGTAGGCACCAGGAGGATATTCTCTAAGCATGGTGGCAGCAAAACAGAAGGTGTACAGGACTGACAGTGAGTGGTCTGATTGAGCTGGACTATAGAATACATGTGATTATAGATTTCGGTCATCTAGTCCAAACCTTTCATTTTACATATAAAGAAACTAAGTTAAGTGACTTGCCCAAGGTTACAGACAGTAAATGGCAGAGCTGGGATTTGAACTCAAGTCCTCTACCTCCAAATCTAGCAATCTTTCCCTGGGATCAGTCAAGTGAGAAAAAGCTGGGAGGTTAAGATGGTGCCAGATTGAGGGGCCTCTGAATTTTAGGCAAAAGAGTATCAACTGTATTCAGTGGAAAATAAGGATTGATGAGTGCCAAGCAGTGGCCTGATGTATGATCTGAACCATGAACTAGGAAGCATGTCTGGCAATGTGGAAAGGATGACAAAGAGGTGAAGGAAAAAGGAAAGGCAAGACCTGTCACTGTTCAAACCACATCCAAAGTTGAGGCTGCTGCAAGATTTCAACACCATCCAACGAGAGCCGACAT